ATGTCCTATTCGAGAAACAATGTTGAAGGATGCGGTCGGCAAGGGATTATCAAAGTTGCGACGCAATTCATTTTTGAATGCCTGGCTACGTCCGCGGTCTCGGCGCCATTGGACACTTGATGTGGCCAGTGATGCGCCGCGTGAATTGTTCGAGCTCGTCGGAAGAATATGGGCTGAACCCTTGGGCCGAATCCCCACCAATAAGCGATGGGGTCGGATGCTGTTAGCTGTGCGAGAAGTCATCTGTTGATTCATGTTTGCGGGGCTTTGCGTGGCATTTCCAGGATAAGCGCAGCGAACTTCTAATGATGCAGACCTCGCCTGCGAAGCGATGCGTGATTCGCATGCCTTGGACTGTCGGATTAGGTCCGCGATTGAATCATTCGACCTACTCCGTGAATGGACGGACCAACGGATTTGGCATTGAAGCAACCGGCAGAAGTATTCAGAACGCTTTTGTTTTCATGCAAACGTCTACAGACACTCCGTTCAATGCCAGGGTTCGCGTGCCAAACAGTCGTTCGTTTGGGATTCTTCAGTGCCGAGAGTGATATTGGTATTGTCTCAAAAAGCCAAAGCAGGAGAGCGGCCCAGCTGACTCTCCCACGCAGGCTCCTCAGTCCACCGCGAATGCTACGACCACGGTAGTGGAAGCCAAAGCCCCGAGCGGCACGGCCGGCTCGGGGCCGAGAGCTTAGCGGTATACTAGAGCACTATCGAGACCGAGGACAAATTTAACAGAGAGGCATGCCTATAGGGCTGCCCCTTACAATCCTGCGCCCACCGGCTCAGCCGCGTCGGGCAGCGATGCCGGCTGGGTCGATGGAGATCGCGTCCGGACATGGGCTGATGAACCCACTGCCGAAGTAGACGGCCGCGCGAGCGATGGCGGCTGGGACACGGCGCGGGACGGCGCCGACATGAACGAGAACGGGCAAGTTCAAGGATATTATGTCCGTGTGACTCGCCATCAGCACATCACAAATTATGCCAAAACTTGGCAATGGTTTAGTTTGAACGAGTACAATGACAAGTTCAATCGTGACCGTACCTTGCCGGGGCCTCCGCCGCCACCCACGCCGAATGCGAGGCCGGCAGACGAGGGCCAGGGCAAGGACAAGTCAGACAGCTGGATTACAAGCAGAAGAAGAGACAGATATGAAGATCGTCCAAGGGATCAGTCCCAGTGGAACTGGCGCAACAACGATGCATGGGATGACTCTCGAAACTGGAGAAGTGATTGGCAGATGTAATCCTGTGCAAGAAGGACCTGTGCGACTTCGTCGATACCGGTCCGACGTTCATCCTGAGGCGGGTGCACCAGGTGTGCGTGGGCATTGAGGCCTGAGCTGACAAAATACTAGCTCTGGCGGGCTTCGTCTGGTCGTTTCGGTCTTCCGCCCCCTGCCGCCCGCAGTCGAGGGGTAAAAGTGTTTTTCGGGGCTCGCTCCTGTGGCTGTGCATGCGTGCAGTCCAGGTGAGTTGGGGTCGGGGCGATTCTACGCTTCCCGTCGCGGGGGGAGTCAATGCACTCTTTTCGCGCCACCACTCTGCCGCCCGTTGCCTTCATTTCGTTGCGCTGCCATGTGCTGCATCTTACTGCAGCTGTTTGGCTTTAGGCAAAACAAAGAAGGAGCGAGCCTGCGGCGCGCGCGCGTGCGTCGGCCGGCGGGCCGGCCCCCTCCCTTCAGGGTTACTTTATTGCTAGCTTAACGGCATTATCCTTTCTTCCCATGTCATCCGCGAAGCCCGCTGAACATGAGATATCATCGGAACATATTGCAGGGATTATGAATATTCAGTCATGAGACTATACAAGACGCCCTCCTGCGTAGCATTTAGAGGGGGCGTCCGGCGTGGGGGCTTAAGGGGGGGGGGGGTCTCGCCTGGGAAGCCCTCGGGAGACCCCCCTTTGCAGGTAGCGGCCCAAACCAACGCGCGGGCCTCCACCATTCTTCTTGAGCCGAAAAGGCGGGTACATTGTGAATTGTCGTTGTTCCTCCAAGCGCCCTCTTGGCCAGCATTGACGATGCCTGGGGCCGCCTTCGGTTGCCTTGGGATCATTTTGTAGCCATATGCGTTTCTCTTGGGCCCTGGTGGGGCGCTCTTTGGCCTCTCTTGAGGTCTTCAGCCTTCAGTGGCCAGCCCCGAACAAGCCAGGCCCGTCGTGAACCTCGCTGTGTCAATACATGTTCGATTTATATATATATATATATATATATATAGATATACACAAAAAAAACACTGCATCAGCACAGCGAAACCCCCCAAAACGCCCTGGAGGCTTTCAGTTGGCCCCCGACAGGTTCTTAAGAGATTCCCCCAGGGCTCCATAGCAATTTGGCTAGGGCCGTTTGGGCTTAGGCGAAGTATGATACATTTTGTTAAAGCCAAATGGGCTTGGAACTCAGCGACATGCTGCGCAGTCGTAGGGGAAACGCGGCTGCAGCCTTGGCTGCAATCTTTGCGTTTTCGGCAGCGTGGGGCAGCTGCCAGACACGGAGCTCGAAGAGCATGATTATGGAAACTGGTCTTCGCATTGGCTCTTCAGTTGGCCGAAGTAGTTCGCAGCAGTGCTGGAAGGCCAGCAACTTGTGCGAAAACATGAGGGACTATATCGATCGGAACGGCCTGACTCACATCTTCGTTGGAACTTCAAGTAAAACTGGTGGTTCGACAACCAAGCATTGCGAAGGCCTTACGGCCATTGCCGCCGACCCTGAAGATGACGAAAGACAACACGAGGGGGGGGGCAGGAGGAGGAGGAGGAGGAGGAGGAGGAGGAGGCGGAAGGGAGTAGGAGGAGGAAGGATGAAGGGGGAGGAGGAGGAGGCCTTATGGATGTTGGTTGGGATCTCGTGGTTGACCTCTCGGGGGCGTCTGGAAGGCAACTTGAAGCCTCTTGGGGGCCGTTGTGGGGCCTCTTGGGGCCTCTTTTGGGCCTCTTGGGCTTCCGGAGGCCGTCTTCGGCGCATCTTGGGGGCGTTTTGGCGCCGCTCGGGGGCCTCTTGGGGCCTTTTGGGGGCCTCTTGGGGCTTCCCGGGGGCCTCTTAGGGCGGAAGTCTCGAATTCTCGGTTCCTCGTCCCCCTCTTGGCCGTTTCTTGGGCCCGTCTTGGGGCCCTATTGGGCCGTCTTGGGCGCCTCTTAGGCTGTCCTGGGGCCTTCTTGGGCCGTCTTGGGGCCCTCTTGTAGGCCTCTTGGGCCGCTCTTGGGGGCCTCTTGGGGGCCTCTTTGGCCGTCTTGGAGTGTCGGAAAGTCGAAAAGGCGAGAAGGCCAAAATCATTCAAAAACCGATGTAAAATTGACGATTTTGGCGCCTGGGGCGCTCTTGGGTGTGCTCTTGGGGCTCTCTTGGAGCGTCTTGAGGGCCTCTTGGGCCGTCTTCGGGCCGTCTTGGGCGTCTTGGGGCCATCGTTCGTCGAGTCGAGGCCCTCTTGTACCCTTTTGGGGGTGTCTTCTGTCGCTCTTGGCTCGTCTTGAAGCTTTTCTGAGCTCCGGGACCCCCCGGGGAGGATGCGTATCTGGGTGGCGACCCCCCCCGGCGACCCCCCCC